TCTTTAAAAAAGGGGTGTTAGGTTACTGGTAGTTAACTAAATACACACATGGCTGGCTAATGTCAAATGCTAACTAACCCTATCCCTAACCCAAACCCTGGTCCAACCATACGCCTAACCCTAATTTCTAACCCTAGTTTCTTCCAGGCATCTCTACGGGGGGGCTAAGCCCCCCCGAAAATTTGTTACCGCCCCCCGAACGAAATTTATATAATTTATATAGAAAATATATACTTTTAACAGTGTCCGCCCCCCTGAAGAAAGTTTTACCGCGCCCCCCCCCCCCCACCCCCCCGAAGATTTCAAGTGCCCCCCCCCCCCCCCCCCCCCCCCCCGGAGAAAAAAGTCTGGAAGAAACACTGGCTATATCATGATTTTACCAGGCCTACTACTAGATTTAGATGTAGAAAAGAAAGATTTCTATTTCTAGGCCTACTAATTAGTATTACTCACTAACTTGGAGGACCGGTTGCTAACAACAATATGGCATCTTTATCGGACGCATGACTTTCTACCATGTTTTAGTCCAAATTCCAGTGACCCTCTATAAATTACTTGCAAAAATGTTTACCACGAGCAAAATGGCGGGGTTTTCATGTTTTAACAACAAACTATACATAGGTGGCAGGGCTATATATTAGTTTGAATTAATGAAATTTTAAAATCAAATATTATTTCACTTAAACCATGATAAGCCATGCCCTTTAGTAGCTAGTCTAATAAAAAAATTAATTCTTTAGATTAACTCAAGAGTAGCATACCAGTACAGATCTAGTAGTATTAGTAGTCCTATTCGTTACTAAACCGGAAGTCACTACCTGACTCTGAAACGTTACGCTCCGTTGTTTTTTTTTTAAATTTTTTTGTGGTCTTATCTACGACAAATTAAAAAAAAAACTTCTAATCTCGCAAAATCTCATTATTATTTAAATGCGAGATGCTAAGATGTGACTTGACTTAGTCCTCTTTGCTCCTTATGGAACGTAGGGCCGCAACCATTTCCTTCCATTTCATCCGATCTCCGGCTATTAATTTTGCTGTCTCCCAAGACATCCATGTTGGCTTCCGTTCTTCAAGAAGACTCCCCTTCCAGGAAAAAGTGAACTGTAACGAAAAAAAGAACTGACCACTGGGCAAAAGTGGTAGACAGTTCCAAGATTAATATATATTTCAGATATTTAGCCTATCATGATTAATTACATTAAATCTGTTTACTTTTTCCAAAATCCAATTCCCGCATGAGGTACCATGTGACAATTTTCTCTGCTATTTTTAGTAACATTACACAAATGTTACACTAGTTGTCAGATAGAAACAACTCCATTCCAGAAATTTTAAGATTGTGGAGGATGTCATATTTATACCATGATTCTGTGTGTGCCAAGGGGGATATTATCCAACCTTCCGCCAGTGAATCTCTCACATCTTTTGTATTGTTAAAAATGCGTTGCTTTGATCCGCACGGCTCCAACAGGTGGATGACCTATATCTAAGTTGTTGTCGGTGCCCGTTCTTTGATCAAATACAACCGTGGTCACTCCTTGACTTTCTAATAGCATGCTTATATGTAGAAACACATTTGTTAGTCGTTTAAAAATTACATTAATTTAATTAAATTTAGTTGTTATTGTTTCAGAACATCGTTATTATTTCCTTATATAAACCTCAATTAAGCGTTTTTGTCCAGGGAGTTCATGTTGCGGGGGGGGGGGGGGGTTCAGGGAGACGTGCATCTTGCGTTTGAAAGTCTAAATTTTATACCAACATATAATAATTAATGAATTAACAGTTAATTATTCTGTTATGTGAACTGTGCAAAAGATCACTGCTCAATAATGCCATTTTGTTATTACCTTTATTAATTTTATTATTTTATTACATACTTTATGAAAACAAAATGTTTGCAAAGCCCAAAATTCAATAATATATTACTTTTTAATGTTATCTCCTTACACCTCCAAACTGAATGTATTAGACCTAAGTTTTCCTCATCAGTTATCATTTTTTATATTTTTAAACTGAATGCATTAATTATAAATTAGATAGAAGTAACTAGGTTTAATTATCTTATAAAAAATAAAGCCTACGTTAAATTGTAATTTTTTGTAACAAAGCTTACAGCTTCTTATTAGCCTATTTATTTGAATCAGTAACAAGGTGCCCTAAATGCAGATACAATATTTAGGGTAAAGCAGGGTACTAAAAGCAGTGTGTTAATAAACCCAGTTAGCATCGCACCCCCACAAAACCCCAAAACTATTAATCTACTTCTGAGGTAACAGCCACCACTGTTCTTTGATAACAGAGAAGGTGGGGATTTTTCTTGTGTCATTTATAACCTGCTTGGTCCAGTAGGGAGAAGATAAAATATGATTTAATCCCTCTGCTTTTTCTGTAAAATTTTCACCTCCATTAAACAATTTTGTGAACTTTTTTTCCAAGTAGACATAACAGGAAACTTCACTTTGAAGAAAAAAATGTCAGACAATTGTCTTGTTTTACCATGCTGTAAAGTTTTGATCATTCTCAGAGTAAAACTTGACTATCTTATTAATAGTTTTATTTGTTAGAAAATAACTAAATCTACATGAGTACATTAATTTTGTCCACTAGCTTGCAATTTTTTTAGGCCAACTTCTATAGGCATAACGAAGGTATCTTAACTATATTAATAATATTCTACAAATAACCCAATATTATGCGAAAAGTCTCGAGTTCGAACCCTCTGGCAGATGAGGCTCGTTAGCTGGGGACAGCCACTCTTCTTCAAAAGACAACTCCAAAATCAAACAACTGCTGCCTTGTAGATTGTTCTTGGTTGGACAAAAGGCTATGGAAGCAAATCCAAAAAGAAAAGCAGGCTGAAATCGGAGTCAACGGCCTCAACGGCGCATAACCAGTTGACACGTATCCTTAATTGTGATGGAGGTGTGGGCGAGTTGGCTTAAGCTAATGGTTGATAAATTCGAAAAACTCTCGAGTTCAAACCCTCTGGCAGTTAAGGCTCGATCCCTTCCAACACTAAAAATTAAGAACGAAGAAGAAGATGTGACCATACAAGTATAAAAGTCTAGATTTAAATAGAGCCTTTTATCAATTTATTATTAAATTATTATTAACAATAACAGTAATTGTTCAATAAAACACTAATAAAATAATTTATAAAATAGTTATTGGTCAACACGTTATGTGCATTACCACTAGTTGAATGATATTAGTGACAAAGCAAAGGAATGGCCAAATAGCTAAAAATCGGACACATTTAAAATAACATAGGCCACTAATACCTATTAGGAAAATTAAAACCAAATTATATACTTTTTTAGTCAACACAACACCATATTAAATGCACACACTAATTAAGAGACTTAAATGATTCTTTAAAAACCTGGCTTTTCAATGGTCATTTTGTTATTTTTTAAATGTGATTTGTATTAATTTGACAGAGAAAATTGTACACATATCAGAGTGTACATCTTGATAAGTCTAATTGTAAACAAATAATAAATCCATATACTTACGCCATAAAACCTTTATGCATGCACATATATTTGTTCACAGCCATACGAGTAAAATAGCGTTGGAACTTTTTACAATTGTTGCATTATGGGTACTTTAGATGATTTTAAAATCTTGCAAATTTTTTTTTTGTTATCAATAATAATCCCGTTCACATTAATTGATTTAGTTCGGATTTTTTTTCTCTCTCCCTGGCTAATTAGACTTGAATTTAAGTGAGAGAGAACAAGAACTCACAAGTCCTCTAGTGTTTAAATATTGTCACTAAACTAAAAAACATTAAGTGCAAATTAGTGCCAAGCTACCTGAAGAGAACAAGTGTTTATTCAGCTCTTTGTCACAGTTTTTAATTATAAACTAACAACAGCAAATCAAGTTTTCATTTTTGTTATTATTGATATCTTTTTACTTTCTCGTATACACGTAGTATAGAGAAAGTATTGTAATCGTGCAAAAAAAAAATCGAGATTTTACACCTCACTGATACGGAAAAACATAATTTTGCAATCTTGTCCATATGTCTGTGTGTGTGTGTGTGCGTGTGTAAACACGATAACTTGAGTACCGTTACAGCTAGGTTGATGAAATTTCATATATAAGTATTTTATCAAAATCGTAGATCCGTATCAACTTTTGAGCAATTTCCGATAACCGGAAGTGGTACTTTTTCTACTTTGAATTTTTCAAAAGCCTATAACTTGAGTACTATTTCAGATAGATAAATGAAATTTCACATGTAAGTAAAAGATCTTACTCTCTACCTTCTGTTAAATTTTGAGTAATTTCCGTTGACGGGAAGTACTAATTTACGCTATTTCCAATTTCTCAAAAAACAAATGTAAATTTTTAAAGTACTAATATTATTGCGCACCATTATACACTTTTTTATTTGGCGTTCACTTGATGTGCAATTAATTTGTCTACGAGATTTTATTCTATTTTAAAGACTTTAAGAATTTAAAATGGATTAAAAATCATAACTATATCCCGAGTTCCCATCCCTTGTTGTTTTATATAAGAATATTCAATGTGTTGCAAATATTGCCATGTTATTAGTTATATGTTGTTTTGGCTATATAATCACCAGTTTAACTTTTACTTTTTTTAAATCATCAGTTCATTTTGAGAAAGCTGTACAGAATGGAGTTGGAAACAGATGTGTTAGCTGCAGTTTCATCTACTGTAGATATACAGTCAAATGAACTAACAGAATTTTCATCTTCTGAAGATTTGAAACCAGATATATCAACTGTATTATTATCATCTCCTGAATTATCAACATTTTTAAATTTCCAGGATATAAAACCTGACATGACATTTAAAACGCCTCAAGATGTTAAACCTGATTTTACAACAGAATTTTCTTATTCTGATGACATAAAACCAGAATTATCATTTTTTGATTTCCAGGATATAAAACCAAACAAGTCATTTAATACTTCTCAAAATTTTAAACCTGATGTTACAACAGAATGTTCTTCTTCTGAAGACATAAAAGCAGAATTCTCAACATTGTTTTTTTCCCAAGATATTAAACCTGACATTACAGACAAAACTTCTCAAGTTGTTAAACCTGATATTACAATTGAAAAAAGTAATAAGAAACCTGCTGCAACAGCAGTATTTTCAACATCAGAAAATTTAAAACCAGAATTTTCAACTCCTGAAAATTTAAGACAAGATTTCACAACAGGATTTTTATTTTTTGAGGATAAGCAACTTGGACTTGAACAAAATCTACAACTGTCTAGGGACGAACCCAACAAGTTAGTTTATTATCATCAAGCATTTTCTAAAAGTTCTAATATTAAGATGCATAAAAAAGTTCATTCAGGAGATAAACCACATGAATGTGATGTTTGTCATAAAAGGTTTTCTCGAAGTTATATATTAAGAAAACATAAAAAGGTTCATTCAGGAGAAAAGCCATATGAATGTGATGTTTGTCATAAAAGGTTTTCTCAAAATTATAATTTAATAACACATAAAAAGATTCATTCAGGAGATAAACCACATGAATGTGGTGTTTGTCATAAAAGGTTTTCTCGAAGTTCTAGCTTAACAAAACATATAAAGGTTCATTCAGGAGAAGGGCCATATGAGTGTGATGTTTGTCATAAAAGGTTTTCTCACAGTTCTATATTAACACAACATAAAGAGGTTCATTCAGGAGAAAGGCCACATCAATGTGATGTTTGTCATAAAAGGTTTTCTCAAAGTTCTATGTTAACACAACATAAAGAGGTTCATTCAGGAGAAAGGCCACATGAATGTGATGTTTGTCATAAAAGGTTTTCTCAAAGTTCTAACTTAACACAACATAAAAATGTTCATTCAGGAGAAAGGCCATATGAATGTGATATTTGTCATAAAAGGTTTTCTCGCATTTCTGGTTTAGCACAACATAAAAAGGTTCATTCCGGAGAAAGGTCACATGAATGTGATGTTTGTCATACAAGGTTTTCTCGCAGTTCTGGTTTAGCACAACATAAAAAGGTTCATTCAGGAGAAAGGCCACATGAATGTGATGTTTGTCATAAAAGGTTTTCTCAAAGTTCTAAGTTAACACAACATAAAAAGGTTCATTCAGGAGAAAGGCCACATGAATGTGATGTTTGTCATAAAAGGTTTTCTCACAGTTCTAGTTTAACACAACATAAAAAGGCTCATTCAGGAGAAAGGCCACATGAATGTGATGTTTGTCATACAAGGTTTTCTTACAGTTCTAAGTTAATACGACATAAAAAGGTTCATTCAGGAGAAAGGCCACATGAATGTGATGTTTGTCATAAAAGGTTTTCTCAAAGTTCTAATTTAACACAACATAAAAAGGTTCATTCAGGAGAAAGGCCACATGAATGTGATGTTTGTCATAAAAGGTTTTCTCAAAGTACTTATTTAAGAAAACATAAAAAGCTTCATTCCGGAGAAAGGCCATATGAACCTGACGTTCGTCATAAAAACTTGATGGAGAAGAAAGATTTATAACGAAGTAAAGTTATTCATTCTGGAGATAAGCCATTTGAATCTGATGTCTGCCTTAAAAGATTCCCATATAGTTCTTATGTTCTTATCTAGAAGAACATAAAAAATTTTATTCAGGAGAATACCCATATGAATGTGATGCTCGTCATAAAAGGTTTTCACAAAGTTCTAATTTAAGAAAAAAAAAATATTCATTCAGGAGAAAGGCCACAATATTGTGGCTTTTGTCATAAAACCTTTGTGGTAAAGAAAGATCTATAACTACATAAAATTACTCATTCTGGCAAGATTCCCACACAGCCGGGAAAAAACTGGGAATTTTAAAATTTAATTTACTTGCCGGAAATTTTAATGAATAGCCAGGAAATATCTAAAAAACAAAAACAGGAAATATTGCTTCCCGGCCTTTTTTTCCCGGTCTATCCAATTGCTAGTCTCGCTGCGTCTCGTGATCTAGCTCTGGCGCCTAAAATTACTCTTACCAATTCTCATGGTGCCTTTTACCATTAATAAAAAAATTGTAACAACTGGAGTAAATAGGGCTTTCATAAACTCACTGTGACCCCAAGTAGGCCCATGCGATCATACAGGCATTTTGTTTTTTTTTTTTGGGGGGGGGGGGGGGGATGATACACTGCCTTCATCAGCTGTCTTAAATAGCTATTTATGTTAGAACCTATTCTATATTGTTGTTTGTTTTTTTTTTCAAGTTTTTATTTTGTTTTAAAATATGATTTATTTGAAATTTTTAAAAATAGGCCCTAGGATCTAATTTCAGTTGTTCTGGTTGATCTCATTGTATATCAAACTAAAATGCTAAACTTAATGTAAGGTATTAATTAGTACAAAAATAGCATGAGGGATATTTTTCAAAGGTCTTGTCTTTAAGCAAATTACTTGCTGTTTTCAGTTTGTTGTTTGTATGAATAACTGCACACTTTTGGCTGACTACACACATTATTGAACTTGACCTCAATATATGAAATGCTAAAATTAAAGCAAATTATTTGCTGTTTTCATTTTTGGTTTGTTCTTTGCGTGAATAACTACACACTTTTGGTTTACTACACACATTATTGAACTCAATATATGAAATGCTAAAATTAAATACTTAGATATGTTACAAACTGCAGTGTACATATCTACACCTTTTTATATTTGGTTTCAAAGTGTTTCTACTAACAGCTTAACTCACGATATTCATATTAATTGTATTAACAAACAGTTGTTTTGTATTGGGGGATGTTCTAGAAATGGAATATTACATTATTGGATCTAGATGGGTTTATTATTTTAAACTATTTTTGTTAAATGCTTAAAAAATGTCGGATGCGACATCAAGTTTCAGGGTTTAAAAATTTCAGTTTTGGGATTGAATTTTAGGATATGATTCACTTAAAAAATAAGTGGCACCCCTAAAAATGTCTGCTATTCGTGCTTTAATTAAATTTAATTCAGCCGGTTTATGTTCAATAAAAATGCGCTAGCTGGGAATTTCTTTAAATAGCATTAAATTTATACTTGAAAAATTTGTGAATTTCTTGGAATAGCAGTGTATTTTCTGGTCAAAAAATTGTGGGAATACTTTTCTGGATAAAAACAGTCAATCAGGAGAAAAGGCACATAAATGTGATGGTTGTTGCAAAAACTTTGTGAAGAAGAAGGGTCTATTATAAGAAAAAAATGTTCATTCTGGAGGTAAGCCATATGAATGTGATGTTTTTCATAAAAGGTTTGCTGGGAAGTGTGATTTATAAAGACATAATTTTGTTCATTTAGGAAATAATCCACATGAATGTAATGTTTGTCCTAAATAATTTACTCAGAATAGTAGTTTAACTTCACATAATAAACTTCATACAAGATCTAAACTACATGAACGTGATGTTTGCCAAGAAAGGTTTACTCACAGTTTTTATTTAACTATACATAAAGAAGCTCATACAGGAGACAATCTACATAATCATTTGAATGTGATATTTGTCACAAAGTTTTCTCAATATAAATGAATAATTTATTACGACCTATAAGTGTTCATACAGGTTATAAGCCATATGTATGTGTTGTTGGACTTGGACATAAAAGATTATCTTAAAAATCTTATTTAAGTACACATGAAAAAGTTAATTTAGGAGAGAAGCTACATGAATCTGGTATATGTCACAAAAGATTTTCTCAAAGTCTTAGTCTAAATGTACATTAGAAAATTCAGTCAGGAGAGAAGTAACATGAATGTTATATTTATCACAAAAGATCTTCTCAAATATCTAATTTTAATACTCATAAATAATTCATTCTTGAGGTAATCCAGGAAATTCATCATGACTTAAAATCAAGTTAATGTAATTTTTAACAAAATTAATATAATTCTAGAGCAAATTATTATTATTGAATATTTTGTTACAATTTTTTTTTCTCTTCAGAAAACGTTAACTAGTGGCCATCCAATAGTGGTCCATAGTTTATTAATTTTAATATTTGTATTATGAAAAGGTTGCTTTGTCAAAGAGCATACCACATCAATTATTATACATACTCTATAAAGAAATTGTATTCTGACTGTAAAAGGAAATAGCATTCTATTATGTCAGCTGCATGTGTACAATTTTTTCTTTATGTAGCCTACTTCTTTTTGTGTTATTTGTAAATATGTATGATAGAAGAAGTAAGCTATAACTTTAGAAACCCAGGGTTTTCTTTTTATACCTGCATGGTTTTGTTCAGGTCACACAGTTAATTTGCCTGCTCTTTTCAAATTATATAAAACGAGAAAAAAGGATACAACGGGCGCTAGGTTGATAGTGCTGTCTATTTTCTCTAAACTAAAACCAAAACCAAAATCACCACCTTAATTCAATTTAACCGAAAACAATAAAAATGATATTGAAAACGGATTTTTAATCAGAATCGGTACTTTAATTTATACAAAATATAGTCATAGGCATATCCCTAAACCATGCACCTAATCTCATTCATGACAAAAGTCGTATTTAGAGTTTCTTTCAGGCAACTCTACTTGGGAGGAGGGGGCTCCACGCACCCCCCCCCCCCCAAACATGTCTACCATCCCATTCAACGAAATATAATTATATACTTATTGACAATTCACATTCATTGGGGCAAGGGAGTTTACCAATTCTGGTAAAACCAATTACACATTAACAATAACAGAAGCTAACTAAAATAAAACACAAAGTTCGAGTTCAATGCATTTATTTGCATTTACAATATAAGTACTGTAACACAATTCACATTTATAACTTTACACATTTACACTACTCACAAACAGCTCAGTCAGACATACAGAAACATGACAGATTATCAGGTTGACAGTTAATACTACCTCCATTAGACAAGTACAATGACATCAGGCCGGCAGTACAGTGACATCAAAACTTCTGAGCAGACATTTTTTTTTGTAAAAACGTTTTCATCATTTGTGAATTGACCTTAATCATTATATTGAAGTATAAAATCTTAAATCATATGATCAGATTATACTGGCTGCAATGTAAAACTCAAACTGTGAAAACTGGCTGCCATGAAAAAATTAAAAAAATTTTCTAATATTTGTCCTTGAGATGTATTTATTGTCTTCACTAATGCAGATATAATTGTAAATTAAATTTAGATTGAATTTAAAATGGTAATTTAGTACCTGGATAAGTTTAAATTCTACTAGGAACCAAGTTCTTTATGGTGTGCAGATCCTGTTAAAATTTTACAATCAATAGCATAAAGGCTATAAACAAGGTGCCCATTATTGTTCCATGTACTTGATTGACTAAATTTAACTTGTATCTGTTGTGATCAGTAAAATGATGCAATTTACTTTCTATGTAAACTTATGCTGTGAAAATTAAACTTCTACTTTCATTGTTTGACATTCTTTTATTCATCCTATTTCGGAACCCTTCCTCCCCCTCCCCCTATTTACATGTCTTATGGAATTAGCCTCAAGTTTCAAGTTAGTCCCAATCATTGTTAAGGCTTATGGTTACTTCCTAACTTTTGCTAGATGAATGTTTTTTATTTTATAAAATTAAATGCATGTGTTACATGTTATATGTAGATTTTATCTTTCTACACTTCTTCTCAAATACCTGCTAAATCTCAGACCTCTCTTTATGCAATGTGTTAAAAAATAATTTTCTTCAGATATTCATATAGGTATAGAATTTAGAGATTAACACATTTAGAGATTAAACATTTATTTTAAAAAAACAACATAAAAATTATAAATTTGAATAAAAGAATGACTAAGGCTGCAACTGTTACATTTCTGGATGTTAGTTTAAACGTAATGTTATTTTTGGTTAGTTGTTATTTAATTTTGTATTCTTTACTATTAAAAAAAAACCCATTGAAATGTAAATTATATTGTAGTGAATCATTAGAAATTGTATCATTAAAATGTTATAAAATAAAATGGCTAACGTGTATGTCAATTTTTTATTGTTATTGTTTTTATAACTAAACTTTCTGTATGTTTAGGGTTGCCAGTTGTCCAG